CCCAGCGTTGGAGGGCTAATGATTGTAGACAGGCAGACGCCTTAAGCACTCGGCTACCGTGACCCAGTGTTGGAGGGCTAATGGTCGTAGACGGGGTTAAGGGGTTGTTTGCTGCAGGGTCCTACACTTCCTAGACGAGTACACGGATGTCATTACAGTGTTTTAGTAATATTTTCTACTAGGAAAAGGGACCATTCATCTTATAACTACATCTCGGAAGGAAAGCCACGATTCCCACTCAGAAGGGCATACATATATGTTTTGCTAGGCTTTCAGAGATAAATACTAAAATTCTTCAAAGATAACTTGCGGACCTAAATCCTTACCACATAACCCTATATTAGTACTTGACATGAGGAGATGAACACTATAATGCTACCAGAATCGGTCCTTAGTCCAGTCTCTCCCTAATTGACAAAGATTCTGGGTCATTTAAACGGTTGAAATCCCGACCATATAGTCACATAATAATACAATAACATGTATAAGATATGAAAAGATGAATGCATTCATACTACCAGGAATGAAGTAACGAAGTAACGTAACAAATTCAGTACATGCAAACAGTCGGTATCCTCACAAATTACCATCTAAATCGTTTGCTTTGACTGCAGAAACGAAACACAATTATGCAAGTAGGATTGGTCTCCGGGTCCAGTTCCATTCCTGATGACGCAGTAGGTCCAGGGACTAGTTGAGTTACCCAATCAAGAATCATTTATACATGTAACACAACTGATAGATTTAGAGTCGATATATTAAAATGGTTGAAATTTCCACCCTTCAAGAAAGTAAACATTTGTTATGCAGGAAGAGCCGACTACTCTTAGGCAGTCAGGAATTCGCCAAGGGCTGGGCCCCTACCTCGCGGACTTAGTGCCATAACCCAGCCAGTCCCCTTTACACAATGCACATATATAAGGCTCTTAACAAAATTTGCATACAATGAGTGCATGGTTTCTTAAAACCTTGAATTCAATGCTTTATAAAGAAGAGTGAAGCCTCTTGGAGACTGATGGCTAATGTTCAAAAGAGGGAAATTTGGTGTTGAGTATTTAAAAAAACGGCAATTCTTGACGAGTATATTTTTCTTAGTTTGCTATGAAATATTACTACGACCCTGACATCATATGCTGTTAAAGTAACGATTCTCTCCTGATTGGTACTGCGAGGCAAAGCCCAGAATAAGATATTTTTGAAATATTAATAATGAAGAAAATATTTAAATATTTCGGTGAGAGATACAGGCGCTTTAGGTCTCATTGTGAAGCCTTTTTGAGCTTGTTTATTTAATAAACCAGATATGACATGCCTTGCATTTCATATATTGTTTTCCAGAAATCACATGTCTTGCCTTCCATTTATTGTTTCAGATATTGTAAAACCACAGGTGACATGCCCTCCCTCCCGTACAATTTCAGTAAAAGATGTTTCCTCATCTGAGGAGGTGGACACTGTGCTTGAAAGCGACATCATCAAGTCGGATATTGTAGGTATAACAGATGTTATCATCAATCCTACTACCCTGACTGTGAGTGGCAGTAATCTGGGCAGTCATATTGTCACAATCATAGTACGGGATGCTGCTTCCAACTCGGCTGTCTGCAACTTTGATGTGGCCGTCAAAAGTAAGTTATTACAGGAATTTACAGTTCACTTTAACAATTCAACATTATGAAATAGTGAATTTATCGCAACCTTTGATATAAATATAGTTTTATAATAATGGATATAAGTGTAAAAACACAGTCGGAGGATACTGTCCTACATGTTTTAACTTAAAGGAGATTTTTACGACCTAGATTTATGATAGAGTTTAATTAAACAGGTAATTTGTCCTTTTGTAATATGTAACGTTGTTATGCCTGACATGTTATAAATATTATGATACCTTCATTTTCCAAATTGTATAACATGTCAGACTAACTGATATAAGATGTTGTGAAGTGTCATAGTATTCAGCAAAGCATTCGGCTGGTCACAATAATCTTAATGCCATAATACCTCTCAACAGCTAGTGAAATATTTGAATGATCACTATGTATCATTTTAACTGAATTTCATGTTCATCGTATTCAATATACGTATCTTAACACTAATATGTATTTGGTGTCATTAAATACTACATATCATCTTTTCGGTGTATTATTGAACATAAAAGTGACAAGAAACCTATTCTAATTACATTTTTCATTTTGTTTTTTTAGTTGATCCCTGTTCACCTTTAGCATTGACTACGCCCTTACATGGAAGTAAAGTTTGCAATGAAGTAGCAGGTGGTTACTCCTGTACACTAACCTGTGAGTCAGGCTATGTGTTCTACCAATATCCTACTACTAACCTATCCATGCAGTGCAGAATGGGAAATCCCTGGAATCCAGAAGCGGTGCCTGCATGTGTCCCAGGTAAGGGTTGTTCTTGCTTATGTCCCAGGCAAGGACTTACCTCTGTGAATGAAAGACAATGTGTCTGCAAGTAAGTGTCCCAGGTAATGATTGTTCTTGCTAATGTCCCAGGCAAGGACTTGCCTCTGTTAATGAAATACAATGTGTCTGCATGTGTGTCCCAGGTCATTTGTCTTGTTGTGTCCTAGGTAAGGATTGTATCACAGATAAGAGTTTACCCTTTGTATCCAAATAAGGACTGTACCTGTGTGTGTCCCTGATAAGGACTGTACCTGTGTACGTGTGAAAATCCATGTTAAGAATGTTATCTATGTAAATTCCAAGTAAAGACTGTAATTCTGTGTGTGTCACTGATAAGGAGTGTACCTTTGTGTATCCAAGGTAAGGACTGTTGCCGTATGTGTCCGGCTGCAGACTGCTCCTGTGTGTGTCCCTGATAAGAACTCAAATATGAAAGACATTTGCTTTGAAGATACACAAAGGGGAAGTAACTCCTTCAAAGCAGATTGTATAATAGTGATGTGAAGATAGTTTCCCGTTTATTTAAGGACTAGTAATAAACAAGTTTTCAAAAACGATTTATCTAACGTAGCTATAGCTACACTTTTTAGGTCACCTGCGACTAGTGACCTATTCTAATCGCCTTCTGTCCGTCGTCGTCCGTCGTGCTTCGATCGTCGGTAAACAATTTACATTTTCAATTTCTTTTCCAAAACCCTTGATCCAATTTCAATGAAATTTTGCAGAAACCTTCCATGGCCTTTGGTTA